TTGTGGTACTAAGTTTTACAGGTAAGGGCAGGTGCAGGTTTTCAACCAGGGAACCATGCAGGACTCTGTAGCATCGGGGTGAACGCACTAATATCTGCCTTTTAACCGTCCAGATGCAATGACTCACCACCCCAAAATACCATCTCTGTCCAAGCAGCGCTCAAACACTGATCCAAATGAGCCTGCACCGAATTTGAAGGAGAGACTAAATAATTAAGAGAAATATAAAAAGAAGTAACCACTGTAACATTTTCACTGGCCTACATGGTGCTTTCTGGCCTGTCTGTGACATTGACGTGACACACCAGTTGGAAAAAAAACAAAAACAGGAAGGGGTACTCGTCTGCTGCAGAGCCATGTACACGACTTTAGTCTACTGGCAATGGGAAAGGAGTCTATAGCCTATTTTTAGCAGGTTTTCCCATGTTTAAAAAACCCATGAACACACACTAATTTTGGCACTGAAATGTTTGGCACTTTCAACGCTCAATCGATTCCCAAAATAGCTGGTGAATAATTTTGTTGATCAACAATGACCGATTGTTTCAGCTCCAGAAACACCAAACCAACAATGTGTTAGTCCGTCTCTAAATACTTCATGACTTCCTGTTTGCTCCTACTGAAGACGTAAATCTTTAAAAACACAAATGTTTTTAATTTCCTAAAACAGAGTGTCACTTTAGTTTGTCTCAAACAAACAGGAGGAAATAGGACATTTGTTGGAGGTGGATTAATTCACATTTTGCTGTGTGTATTTGTGGCAGCAGGACAGTGTATGAGAGCCAAATTAAATGACAGAGTGGGAGGCCGGTATAACTTGTGGCGTCTAATGGAGGTGCTGGTGTCTCCACCCTCCATACTGAGAGTGTGTGTGTGAGCGACAGCTGTGAGGTTTACATCAGGTCGATCTGCCGGGACAGAACGCCGCTGTTAAATGAATTCTGATCGCCTGTTGATACCAATAATCCCTTCATCAATACCTCTGTGTTCCTGAAGACCGGTCCTGCCTGCGCCCACAACCCTCCTGCTGTTCATGAATCAATCCGTTCATCCTTCTGTGCATCCATCCGTCCTCTCCTCTTTGTCTGTCTGTCTGTCTGTCTGTCCTGGCCAAACTTCATTCACTTTCTCTCCAGGTTTAATTTAGCCTCAGTGGAAAACAACAAGCCGCCGGCTGTAAACAACACATTAGCTTTATGAGCTGAGGACCTCGGGAAGCCAGAAACCAGGACAGAGATGGAGACAGATGGACAGACAGATAGAGACAGACAGGAATAGAGGAGAGGACAGACAGTAATAAAGCTACTGACACAGTGGGAGGGGATGAGGAGAGTTCTGCAGTCAGATGAGGACAAAGTGGACCTCAGAGAGTATTTGGTGATGGATGGAGGGATGGATTCAGCAGGAGGGAGACACGCACTGGACCTCTGGGAGAGAGAGGTATTGATGAAGTGATTATTGGTGGCAGAAGGTGATCAGAACTCGTTTAGAGGGGGAGTCAAATCGCAGCATATTGATCGGAGGCGAGAGTCAGACACCGTCAGTCATCATCACAGGAATCTGTGCTGATGTGACAGCTCACCAGTGAGCATCTTAAAATCATTCTTGATTATGGAGTCTGGTGCTGATGTTATAAATTAAAACCATTTTAAGAATTTTACTGTTTTCAGAGCCACATCAGAGAGAAGTGGTTTAATTTGCCAGCTCTTTTAGTCCTAGTCCTGACTGAAATAACAAGTCTGTGTGAGTCTTACACAGTTATGCTATACAAGTGTCTACCATTTTCTCCCGGTATAGGTTTTTATTTTTCCTATCAGAATCTTGGGTCTAAGGACAGACTGTAAAGCCCCTTGAGGCAAATTAGAGATCTGTGATATTAGGCTGTAAAACAATGTTGACTTGACTTGAAGTCATATTTGATTCCCCCTTTGTTAGTCCATCTGTAGCCAACACAAACTCTGGACATTTTTAGCCTTGTTCCAGTCAAAACTACAAAATGAGTATTTTAGGCTGAATCCAAATTGCAGACTCATGGACTTTGTAGGCTCGTCCTTAGGGCTGCCCAAATATCCAACTCATCCAGTCCACATGGGGCCTAAATGGGACTTTCTGCAGACTTCAGCGGGATTAATACTTCTGCATCAAACTGACTGCATACCTACATACACCTACCCAGAAATGTAATGCAGATCTCCCGGCTAGTTTTCTAAGCTGAAACCATTTCCCTCAGTGGAAACAAAGCTTTATTTACTTTAATTTCACAGACAATAAATCCTAAAGACAATAAAGCCTCCACAAAAATAGCATCTGAAGTCCTGTGTGTGATTTATCATGGCTTTATTTGAGTAGAGGAAATCTCCGCTAGTCGATAGGCTAATATTCACAATGTAAAATGCCATACGCTTGTGCTAATAACGTTAGCATGTTGCATGTGTTTGGAAAATGTGTTTAGTATAAGACAGTTGTTTTGTCAGTGAACCTTGTGAGCTGTAATGGAGCTGAATTTTGTAACGTTACCTTTGTTACATGTTGCTGTTGTCCCTGGCTTCATATGAGCAGAGGAAATCTCCGCTAGCCGCTATGCTAATTTATACAATGTAAAATGCCATAGGCTTGTGCTAATAATGTTAGCATGTTGTATTTGTGGGGAAAATGTGTCCAGATAAAGACAAGTGTTTGTCTGTGAATCATGTAAGCTATAATAAAGTCAATTCCTTTACTTGTGTTTGAAATTGCCGCTATTAAGCCATGTTTAATGTGTGTTTAATGTGTGTTTAAACTGTGTGTTTAAAGTGTGTTTAATGTTTGTTTTGAATCAACTTAACTTCATCGGCAAATAATGTTTTGGAGGTGTAACTGCAGAGTGACACAGACACCACCACACAAGCATAAATGCTCACAACGCCGTAGGCCACGTGCGTAGGCTACAGCGTAGGCTCTGCATAGAGCTGATGTACAAGAATAAATATCCTTTCAGCAGACTTTACTGATTTAATTACCCACAATTCATTGCAAAATGAACATGATGTTGTAGATTTGTTTTTTCAATAGCCGACCGAAAAAAAAAACAAAAAACTTACATGTATGAAAAACAGTTACCTCAAGCCTATTAAAACAATACTTGAATCATGAAGGCCAGAAATAATATTCAACAACATTATGACAAAGAAATATTTTCTCTACTGACCAATCAGACTGTAGTGTTCACAGCTCCACCTTTTAGTACCAGATCTGTGTGCTAGGTACCCCAACAGAGGGGGGACCAAACATGGGGCCTCTAAGGAACGCTTCTGTTGGGACCATCCACAACTTTTCACAGTGGAAAATGCATAGCGAGCTGAACTGAACCATACCGAACTGCGTTGTGTAAATGTGGCTGTACTAAACCCTGAGCTGCTCCCGATTGCTGTTCCATCGATGTGTGATGTGTGTGACTGTGTTTAAGCTGAGTAGCTGGTAGCATGGGTGAATGTGACGTAGTGTCAAAGCAGTGCAGCTCCATCACACAAGCACAGCTCCATCCATCGCAATTGTTTAGACACGCTGCAGTGAAATCAGACATTTCAGGCCTCAAAATCTGTGATTAAGAATGCAGCTTGTGCCGCCATCCAATGACAAGGAGGAGATTTGGATTACATGACTCTTTCTCTTCTTTTTTTGGTTGATTAAACATTAAGATATGGTTTAAGTTTTGATATTAATAATAACCTTTTCTTGTCAGTGATATCTCAAGATTCAGTCACAGTTGTTTGATGAAGTTTTGTCCCAAGTGTTCTTGTTTTCTGACAGTGATGAAAACCTTTTGACACAATTTTTATCAACGAAACAAACACAAGAGAAAACTTCCTGACATGCTGTGACTGACAGTGTTGTTCTGCATCTGGGGACATTTTGGACAGTGTTGGTGTTTTCTGGGACTCTTCCAAGTATTTTGCTGCTCTGTCATTAAATGCTGAGTGACCTATGAGCGGCTGCTGAGTCCATCTCTGGGTAAATAACCAGAATGTAAATGTGTGTGTGTTGTGTTTCTGGGCGGTCAGATGGGGAGTTTGGGGGAATGACTGATGGGACGGGGGCATATGGATGGTTGGTAGAGCAGTTGGCAGTGCCACCAAGGCTCTGTGGAGTGATCCATCATTCATACACACACACACACACACACACACACACAGCACTGCCAGAGTGTCAATAAAAACACACATGTTCAGGAGGAAGAAGGACTCATCTGGACCGAGGCAGGGGGAATACACAACACACACACACACACACACACACACACACACACACACACACACACAAACACAAAGACACACACACACACACACACACACAAACACAAACACACACACACACACACACACCGGCTGCTGGTTGTTGGTGTTTTCAGACAGACCAGAGCCCCTTTCACACACACACACACACACACACACACACCGGCTGCTGGTTGTTGGTGTTTTCAGACAGACCAGAGCCCCTTTCACACACACACAAACACACACATTCAACTGACTTCATTCGTGTCTGACTGACCCCATGTGTGAACGGAGCAGGTCACTGACCGCAGAAGTCACAGCGAGCGAGCAGGCGTGTTGACGACATGTCAAACATGCCACTGGCACAAAAACAGAAAAGTAGTAGGGGTGTGTGGCATCACCTTGTTCACATTAATACCAGTACAATCTTTAATATCATATGAAGATGTCATATCGTGATTCTCGCGATATTTCGACTTGTTGACATATTGACATCATGCCGTTACCCACGGCAACAACAAGCATGACTGAAAGCGAAATTATTTCTAACTGTGAGGTGGATCAAAAAAGAGAAGCAGCTTCAGTAGTGTGTGTTTTTGTAATGTTTCATGAACAGCTCCGGACTTCTCAGACTCTTTCAGCTCTTTTCAAGTTATTACAATTAATAAGAAAAGGGAAATTCTGCACACACACACACAAACACACACACATACACACACTTAGTAATATTAGTGTGTTCACACTCACCTCTGTCGAACTCATCTGGAATCTGTCAGGGAGGCAGAAAGGGGAGATACGGTTAAAAATCTGTGCACACAACAGCTGGCTGATAATCAATCAATCAATCAATCAATCATCAGTATTTGGTGTCACCAGTAATCATGTCAGCATCACATCAGGACCAATCAGTGCGTGTAATGTGTCGAGTCCGAGTTTATGATTTGTGATGACGACAAATCGATCACTTTGCCATTGATGGTTATACAGATGATGGAAATCAATCAGAGGCTGGTGGGCAGCAGGCGGCATTTGGGCGTGTCAGACGGACACGTGTGCTGATTATTTTATTTAACAAATAACTGATAATATCAAGAAAATAACTGAGAGATAATGAAAATAATAATTAGCTGCGGCGTGGAAAAAGCTTTAAGAACAGGACGGGGAGACGACAGAGGAAAAAGAACAAAGAAAATCAAAATGGAAGACAGAAAAGAATAAAAAGAAGAAGCAGGAGAAGAAGAAGGGTGCAAAGAGAGAAAATCAAGAAAGCAAAAAAAGGAGTGAAGCTGAGAAGAAGTGTGATGTAAAGGAGGAGAAGTAAAATAAGATATTTAGAAAATAAGACAATGACAGAGAGGGAAGAGAGGATGTAAAAGTAATGTATTAAAGAGGGAGTAGAAAGAGGAGGAGAAACATGAGCGAAGGAGGAAGAGAAGAGCAGGTGGGTGAGAAGAGGAAGTAGAGGAGAGGGAAAGCTCACAGCTCTGGTGTACGACTCCACCTGGTGGACATGACATGTAACTGTTCTCACCACACAGACCCTCACCAACTCAGCATCGTGAGATTTCATTATTTCAACGGGGACTAAAAATCATGAAACAGACGAATGATCCAAACACACTGACACCAGACTGTCCTGTCACAAACTTCATTTTCAGTCCACAGGAGGATTTCTGGACAAGTCTCTACAGTCTCTCGCTAAAACAAATCTTTGCTCAGGATTCAACCACTTCACAGAAAACACAAGACCAGCTGCGGGGAAACAGATTTCTTATCAAACCTATTAAAACAAGATAGCTTTGCAACTGGCCGTGTTTGACTTCAATCATTTCACCTGTTGGGCTCTTTATACAACAGAATAAATATAACAGAGAATATATTACTGTTGACTTTCTGCATGTAAAAGGCAGAAATGTGTCTTTGGTTTGCATGTGCAAAATCTGCTATAAAGAGTAAATGAGTAAATGCTGGCATTGCACATGTCAACTGCTTTTCTATGATATGGAGCCCAGTGACGACTCAATAAAGCACGACCATAGTTGTTTACTGGTCTCCAACAGTCAGGGCTCCCACACATTAACTTGGACAAAGGACAAAACCCATAATATGACTTTCATTTCAGAAAAGCCTGCACTTCACTGTGTCTGCTGCACTCACCGGCCTGGTTACAGTGCTTTTATACACACACAAATGCAGGAGAGTCTCACTTCCCAAAACAAACTCTGCCACAGTGCGTCACATATACGCATAACGTCTAAAAGCAGAAGGCTATCAACCATCAAATAAGTTGTTAAGAGTTCATTGTCCTTACTTTGGACATTGCATGTCCTTCAACACACGTCGCAATGTTGATGCTGAAATGATATATCGTGCTGCCCTAAGTTGACGCACATTTGAACTACAGTATGTTATGTCAATGGCTATCTTACAGAAAATAAATCCACTGTTATGTTACATGCCTTGGAGGGTTATCCCCTGAAGATTACTGTAACAATTGATTTCATTACATGAAAGTATTCCATGACTATTCCAGGTTGTCCAGGACCGTGGGAACCCTGTACAGTGGACTGCAGCTTGGCAGGTGTCTCTCCTAGGTGTCACACCATCCATCACGTCACTTTAGAGACGCTGATATGAGATGTATGGAACGTGCAGATGTGACGTATTTGTGCTCTGAAGACATGTACAATGCCAAACCTTCTTCTGGAGACTGGCCTGCATTATTACTCACTTGACTCAACTTCCAGAAAAAGCAACAAGCAGTACTCTCCTGCTTTTGTGTAGAGAGAAAGGGGCTGAAATTCCTTTTAAAAAAAAAACAACCCTTCCTCCAGCTAAAAAGCTTCTAAGCTGAATTCATGAAGAATTCATTAGTTCCCTACATTTTACAATGAGGTGAGAAGAGAGGATCGACTCATTTTAATTTAAACGTCAGGAGGGAAAGACGAACAAGGAAGACACCGCGAGAGCGCTGTGTCAAATGTCCTCTCACGGACACAGGTCCTAACACACAGGGGTGAACTGATGCGAGGGGCAGAGCTCAGCTGCCCATCGTCAGTGTGGACCGAGGTGTGAAACACGTTGTTAAAACCTCATCGACACCTCGGTGCGACTGCAGGAGCTGCAGCAGCCTGGGAGAGCGGGAGGGGAACTGGTTCCCACACACCGAACACAGAATACAAACAAAACCATTAAAATCTGAAATGTAAGACTGACGGTTCTGCCGTGTGATTTACCATGAGACCAGGGGTGGGAAAAAAATTGATACAGCACTGAATGGCAATATTTTTGATCGTATCGTCACACAGTGCCAAGTATCAATTTTTTATTTTACAAATTCTTAATATGACAAATACAAATTAAACTTTAGGTACTTGAATAATTGAATCAATTGCTTTTTTAGTCCACTACTGCATTTTGCTGCAAATAAAATGTCTGAGGTGAGCTTTATCTTTTTAGATAAAACAGATGTTGACGAAGTTTTTCTTTAGGGACATAACTTATAGATGAAAAAAGGAAATAAATTGAAATATATCACAATATTTTTATCAGTATACTCTGCATATCGTAACCTTTAATATTGTTTTGTGACCGAAGTATCGTGATACTTTCTGATCATGGAACCTCTGGTGATCCCACCCCTGATGAGACCATCATTGGTGATACATCACAGTATCTGTCACTGAAAAAGAAAATTATACTGTTATTAATTATACTGTTAATTATACTGATATCTTTAAAAGCATTAAAATAATCTGAACTGTATTACACAGCCATGTGTTGATGCCATGCCAGGAGAAAAAGAATAATAATGAAAAAAAAAAAAAATCAAGACATGTTTCATGTTACGACAAGAAACATGAAAATATCTTGTAAAAAGCAATAAATACACGTCTGTAGTATTACTTACAGATTTTAAACAAATTCCCGTCACCCTGAAATTGGTCTTAAAACGCCACCCTGAGGAGTCATGAGGTAGTGACACTGAAGTAAAATCACAGAGAGCTCATTATGAAGGGCTACTTACAGAGAACTTAATTATTTCATGAATATATATTTATGTGTGTAACCAGTATATTAAAAGTGCCTGAGGACAAAATAATGCAGAATATTACTGGATTGACCTTTTCATCGTGCTCTTAAAAAACAAGTGGATGACAATGAGAAATCAGAAGTAAGATAATTATTTTTTTGTTTGTTTGTTTGGATAGTTTTGTCCATAATTTCTGTCAACAATAATGTCATATTATCAGTGCATTGCCACAATATTATGGTACTGTATTTTAGATTATATTTCATTCTATTTCACTTTTACTATTTCATATCACTCCGGTTTATTAACTCCTGCACAATTTCATAAATTAAGTGAAACACAAAAAAAAAACCCGACATAGAAAAATGAGTAATAATATGAGGTAAAACAAAATATATAATATAATATAATATAATATAAGGGCACATTATGCAGGACACTATCCTCACATTAGTTTAGTCTGCGACCTTTATCTAACCCTACTTTAATAAATCTTTGGTCATTTAAGTCTTTTTTTTTTTCTTTCAGCAAAAATATCCAAAAGTGAACAAATAAGAAAATGAGTTGCAGCCCTGTGCTCAACTAATTAAGGAACTCCAGGAACTGACTGTTGTCTTTGAAGTAAACGAAGGTTCCCAGACGACGGCGGCACACGCCACATGTCACTTCACTAAATATCCTCCTTGAAGACGAGAGGCAGTCTGACGATGACGAGGTGAGATAAGTGTGCAGAGGACGGCCGACACGCTGACATGAGGAGTGTGTCGTCTGAGCCTGATGCTCCTGACAGGATGTCCAGGTGAGATAAGTGTGCTCTTTGAAGGAAACAATCCTCCCGCAACTGTAAGGAAGTGAACGGAGCCAAGACAAAAGACGGTTCATCTTTCCCATGTCCACACCTCGTCACCCGTCACAGACGGTTTCATTTGGCCCCAAACCTGGCAGAAAAACAGAAGTTTAAAACTGCCAAGTTGCAATCAATTCAGGGTAGATTGTTCTGGTGACTGCTATCTTTCATTTTAAGGACCAATCTGGTTCTTATTTCTGAAACTTCTGCACTGTCCCCGTCATCTGACGGTTAATGGCCTCTTCGTTTGCGAGGACAAGGAGGGCACGCAATTCCTTGTCTCCCCAGTTGCTCATCTTTACAGTGTCTGTCAGGTTTGTGTTTCCCTCTTGCTACTAGCTGCTCGCTAATTCCTGCTATCAGCTGTTTCCTGTTTATCCACCGCCAGTGGCTCGCACGTGCGGCGTCATCAACAGCTCCTCCCACAAGTCATCAACAGCCCCTCCCGTTGCAGAAGGCCACCTCAGTCTGTTTAAACTAAAAAGGTTCTGCCAACATGTCTACCCTACGAGGCGGAAAATTGGGCACCTCAGATCAACTCGCCAATCCGGCTCAGTGTGTCTAAACGCTCGCAGCTTGCCGGCAAAACAGCCCAACATTGGCGGAAAATCTGGCAGTGTAAAAGGGGCTTTAGAGAGGAGCTGTGTTCGCTGTGTGGAAGCTGTATCGATGTGTCTTTCCATGCTGAAACGGTGTGACAACATGTTGCCACGTGAGTTATGGTGTGTAAAAAACAAATGCTTCGTCAACTACAGTCTGCAGTGGAAGTCCAAGTGGCCTTCGGCAGGTGGGGAAACTCAAGCTGTTGTTATTGAGTACCGTTCTGTCATGTAGTAGTGGCTGTCTGTGTGTTCAATAGTTTGTTCAATTGACTGGTACAAAAAATATTTATTACAATGACTTGAATGTAAACGTCTGGCCTGTGGAAAAAAATATAATAAAAATGTTTAAATCAAACACTGAATCATGATCTTAAAATCAAGAGTCTAATGAAAATTATGGATTCAGAAATTTGTGGACACCCTCCCAGTATGATGACATCAAAATGTTTTTATATTACTTGAACTCCTGCCTGTAGAGTAACATATGAGGTATGTTAAAATATTCTGTGATACAATTTTTTGCTCATACTGCCTTGGTGGAGTATTTTATGTTCAACAGCAGAACACAACATACCATCCACATTAATTCTTCCATCTTCTGAAGTCGAGTTAGAGAAAGTAAAACTCTGTCTAAATCTTTTTTCTCGGGCCAACAGCTTTTAAGTCATGACGACAAAGAGGGCTTAGCAGGAAGCCATCCTGACACATTTCCGCTTTTTGTTACCGACAAAAGGATCCTAATGTGAGAGAAGTGTGCCCTTTGAAGTGTCCTGGCTTCCCAGGCCGACACCTCCTGCAGCAGATCCTGTCGGAGCTGAGCGCCGCTCTCACATTAAAAAGTTTCTGGAGCAACTTCATCTGTCAACAAGCACAAGGATGAATGTTGCTGCTGAAAGCTTCAAAAGCTTGTAAATAACATTTAACCTGAATTTATTTTGCCATGTGAGCTGCAGGGCAAGAATTAACTTCCACGCACAAACACAAAATGTAATTTTTTTATACGAATATTTGGGCAAAAAGTTACAGACAAATAATGACTTAAAAATTAAATGACAAAATAAAACCACTGCAGTACCACAGCGAACAAGACAAAGGTATTTTCAGCTCTTTCTCTGCAGGGTCTAATATCATTTGGGTGTTTGCTGGCTCTGTATTTTGCTTCTGCCACCAATTTTCAGAACCAGTTTAGAGGTCTGGGATCTAACTGGTGACCACATTGACGGTGTGATAGATAGTTCTGATCTTTTAAAGTGGGGTTGTGAGAGGTGTTTTTACTTCATCTGTCTATTACCTACAATAGACGTCAGTCAGTGTGCCCCCAGTTTGGAGAAGCAGGAGTCCAGCATGGAAGCTAAGCACTTCCTGCTGTGGACGGGGGCAGCAGCAACACATGTTTTAGACACACACACACACAAAAAAATCAATCAGTATTAGTTTAAATGTACGCTATATTGAGAGTATTTTGCTTTACCTCACCGTCAGACCACGATTACTGATTCAGTCAGACCAACATGTTCACATGGATTTTAAAAGTCCAGCTTTAGTTGGACTGACACAATAAACAGATTCTCTCTAATGTCACTGTGAATCATACACTAAGTATGGACCTCATGTAACCCCACTTCAAAAGATCCAAACTATCCCTTCAAGTTATTTCAGGCCCTGTCACTGCACATGCAAGCTGAACTGACAACTGATGATGACGTCAGTCTTTGTTTTAGATTTGACGTCTTTAAATTGATTCAGTTGCTTGTGAAGTTACAGTTAAGGATTGTCGACTGCTCCATGAAGCAGCACTGGGATCCCAGTCAGTGGAACTTGACAGGACTGGAAGTGAAGGTCATTAGTGTGTGGAGGTGGGATAATTGGGCTCTTTGATGTTTGACTTTCCCAAACTCACAGCTCAGACAAACACAATGTCTCAGCTACCTGCTGAGTGTGCTGCTGCGCCTTATATTACAGTATAACGATGATCAAAAGGGGATGCTGAAGGTGAGATAAGTGTGCTTCTTCCTTTCCCACACTGACAGCTCCCTCGATCGTCTGTCCACATTCACGCCTCTGACAGACAGACACACGTCACAGTGACCTGTGAAGTGTGTCCTTTACAGCGTCCTGTACAACAGGAAGAGGACCTCCTACCTGAGAGGCGAGCCAAACACCACCACACATCAAAAAGAGAAGCAATGGAAAGAAAAAGGCGGCTGACATTCACAGCGGTGTGTCAAAGTGTGCCGACACATCACCTCAGCTCTGGTCAACACATTTGTGCCTGAACGGACGAGTCTGTCTTCAGTGTGTGGACACAAGCTTTTAAACCCCATCACCTTAAAACACACTGACAGGTACTGCTGGTAATGTGTGCAGAATCACACCTGGTATCATGTTTGAGTGTGTGTGACTGTAAAACTCACCGCATTTCCTTGTTCGTCCACTGAATTGTTGCCTGAAAGAGACAGAAACACAACAGTTTATCTCCCATGTGGAAACAGCTTCTCTGAAGGTTCACAGGAAAAAACAACTTGTAACCAACGAGTTGTGACGACTGAGAGTGTTTTCAGCGTGACGCAATAAAATGTTCAAGGTTTTACAAACAGCTGCCAGGACACGACCACGGATGGGACGGGTGTGACGTTTTGACGACATGTTATGTGTGTGACCCACCGCTAGGATATTCAGAAAGTAGCTGCTAGCAGTTAGCAGCTAACTCAAAGACAGAGAACAGCAGCCAATATTGTCAACAAAAATTGGGTCTGGGAGCTCCTTACTCTCCAATCAGAGGATGACATTAGCCGCCATATAACAGGGATGGTAAATGATTGTTATTGACATGTTAATGCCATCGTTACTGTTTATAAAGCGCTGCTCACATATATGTTATATACAACACTAGAGGCCAACACTGTTGTGTTACTTGTCAGGCCTGTCACGCTTTTGCTTCCACAATGTCGGCATGCCGTCTGAAAAATCACACACTGGAGCAACATGATGCCATCGTTGCTTGGTTCTGTGTAAAAATACAAAGGAGGCTTGCGGGTACGGACAAAACAGAACAGTACTGCCGGAGATCGTGCAAACAGTGTATCATAATTCAAGTGAGATATGACTGTAGAAGAGGATGACGAAATTTAATAATGGCAGTACGGAGAGAATATGTAATTAAGTGAAAATAATTCTCCATTCACATGTCAGGATGTATATAATGGTCACACAGACTATAAACCTTCATTTAAAAAGGTACAATAATACAACCTCCTTCACGTCACCTTTTTTGTAGCTGTGTTTAACTTTTGACTCTGCTCTCTAGCGCCATCTATTGGCTGTCTTTATAACAACATAAAGGATGCATGGAATAATAAGGGCAGTGACATTTTATGATGTTCAAAACGCACACATCTATTTTCATATAAAAACGAGCCTTAAGGGGGTGTCACAGTTCGGTGCACTCGTGTTGAGTTCACAAGCTCAATATCTACCTGCAAACTTTCAGCTGTATGTCGTTAGCAACATTTGCTAAGGTTAGCATAAAAAGCTGATTAGTGTGTGAGTCAGTTACACTATATTGAGCTCCAATGAAATGCTAGAACTGGAGCACCCACCTGCCGGTTCCTGGTCAACTACAACAGCAATCCTAACCCCCAACCCTGACCTTTGGGTGAAATGTAACCTGTCCCCAGGAGGATTGTGTCAGTCTCTGACACTTAAAACACTGTCTGTTTGAAGTGAATGAAAAGAAAAGGATCCTTATGTAATTGTTTTTTGCCCCCACTGTACCAACTTAAGGGATACGATGCATTAAAGATACTCCAAGAAATGACATCTGCACAACATCTGTACTAGCAGGCTGTTTCTATGGTGAACTTTGAGTTTAAGTCGAGTAAGATTTTTTTCAAAACTTCTGATGGGCATTTTTTAACTCTTTAAAAAACATTTTCATCTAAGTGTTTCATGTGGGGAAAAAGTAGTCAATAGATTAATCACCACTGAATTAATCAGTGACTGCAGCTGCAATAGTGACACAAAAAACTGCGATTACAACAGACAACAGATGAGTTTCCAAACTTTTCCTAAAAAGTCACATGCAACATTCTCAGCCCTTTCACGTGTTTGTTTCATCAGTATTTCTGCAGTTTCATCACAGTATTAAGAGCCTGCAGGGAACAGGTCAGAGAGGAGAGATTAAATTCCTTTGCAACAATAACACCTGTAAATATTACCTGCACCTCACCCAAAAGTTTTGACAACAGAAAAAAAGTATTTCACAAACCTATCTGCAGGAAAACCACACAGAAGTACAAATAGTAGATGTGTATATTTTCCGGTTATTTTCAGGTTACAATCCAGAATCTCCAGAATATCTCCACGATGCAGAAACGTGATTTAATCCCAAATTATAAAAGAGCATATTCCAATTTAGTATTCCAGAACAGAAATATTCCATGAGAGATGACATGACGGGAAAAGTGGGAGAAAGTAATAGTTAAAAAGATGGTTAAAGTGGGATCTCACACTTTCAAAGCTTCCACAGTAGCTTCTGAAATCATATGAATAAAAAACATAAAACATCTATATCCATCTTCTGCCTGCTGTGAGCACCGTGCCATCATCACTCCTCAGGACGGAAAATAAACCAACAGTGCCGAGTGCTTCATCTGGTAACACCTCCGTTAACTTCAGAAAAACAGCAAATAAAAAAAGGGGAAGAAGCAGAAAAATCCAAATGTGGCATCATCCCAGAATTAAAAATGAAAACTTCAGGGTCTCTAAAAAGCCTGAAGATCCAAAAAAAAACAGCATAAGTAACCCAGCAGATGCTCTGTTGAGGTGAACTGACTGACTGCTGCTGAAGGTCAACAGTTCCTCCGAGCTCCTCCTGTCGTTTCGCCAAGAAGATTTCTCCAACTCATCTTCGCTTCAGAGTCAAACTCCAAATAATCCAATCTACTGGCTGCTCTGCCTCACAGGAAGTTCAAATCTAAACCTGATTCTCTTCGCTCTTTCTTACATCAGCTGTTTCCTCTGCTGCTGACTGGAAACTAAAGCGGCTGCATCAAACTTGACAAACTGACAAATTAAACCTCTTTATTGCTCTCAGCCTGACTCTTCTCTGGAGACAAGCTGCTCACCTCCAACTGACAGCTGCTAGCTCCACCCATCTGTGGGCTGTCCTTCTAAACAGGATGCTGAGCGTGATAAACCAATCACACCCAATGTTTACAACATCTTCTTTCCCCTCACTGGTGGTGAGGGTGGGGAGGGGGCTTCAGTCTGGCCAACTGCATGTAGTTTTACCTTGCAGAGTAGGGCTGAAACTAATGGTTACTTTGACTAACGATGAATGATTTTCTCAACTAATTAAAAATTGGTTGGTGTATAATGTGTCACAAACAAGCAATGCTGCTCATTAGAGTTTTCAAGATCTGGAAGATGTTTTTGAATTTACAGTCTTATACAACAGATAAAAGTAGAAAATCCAGGAACAAGATCAAGATCACGTCTGGTGATTCAGCTTGATTACTCAACTATTTGAACAATCCAAATTGAGAGACTGAAAATAATGCAACGTGTGACACTGTGCTGTGATTGTTGTACCAAACTCAGAACAACTGCAGACCCTGAGACACATGAACCTGACTCCACTTTGCGTACATTAGTCTTGAACCGTTTCAGACGACCTGTTTCAAGATCAGTCCTGGATTAAATGAGGTGCTGGATATATCCAGTCAGTGTGGGCTGCAGATAAAACCTGTTTAACTTAATGATAATCACAAGCTGTGGCGTCACTCCAAGGTCACCAGCGTTAGGCGTTTGTGGTGAATCACAGCAGTGACTGCACAGACAAACTGACAGCGTTTAATTGACCTGCAATGACTCCTCTGTTTGCACAATTCTAGGTCACAGAAGCAGCATGTTTTGGAGTAAGACAGCACATTAGTCTCTGGACAACATCAGTCCACCCCAGATTAGTATACCTGAATATTTTTAGGTTTTTTTTGAGTGTTTTCGGACAAAATAATCAGAGACTTGTCTGATGAGCAGTTCTGGGTAAATGCCTTTTAAAATGACCAAACTCTTTTTACAGGTTTTAGACACTCAATAGTTTCCACACTCACCGAACACGTAGACTATGCCGACTGCGCCGCCAACTCCCATGAGCCCCGCCAACCGTAGCACCATCTTCTTAGCGTAGGCAGTGTTTTCCTTCTGCTTCTTGTCGTCTTGTTCTTTCTCCTTCTCACCCTCCCCTCCCTCAGGAGGAGGCTGGCCCTGGACACAAACAAAAATTAAAATGTGAGAATCATTCGTGACCATCACAACAGATACAGATCCTGGACTTTAGCCTGAGCTGCGGGGGAATGTTACCTGATAACCGATCAGATCATCACCTTATCATTGCAAGTAGGACTCCAACTAACAATTAGTTTCATTAGAGATTAATCTGTCAGTTATTTTGAGATTAACCAATGAACCTTTCAGTATATGAACAAATCCTTAATTCTTTTGTTTTGTAAAACCACCACGCAAAACTCTGCAAGTTAAAGTAATACCAGACAATTCAGCCCAGTCACCACAAGCAGGGTTTCCTACATATCCATTTATTTGTGGCATCGTGCCACGATTAAAACATCTGCCGCTATGTATTGATTTTCTATTTTTGCAGTTGGACTGGTTATTAGGAGCGCTGCTGGTACCATTCGGTTATTCATTCATGCACACTCTCGCAGCACAGAGCTAACTCTGGTCGCTGATGGAGGAGCAGAACATCAGGTGCAGTCAAAGTGAAATTTTCATTGTGCTTTCACTCAAACAGCTGCTCCTCCAATCAAATCGATCTGATCTGATGTGATCAAATCAAACTGGGAGGACACAAAGTCCAACAGTTTAAGAACAACATTTCTTAATACACAACTGTGATGAATTTAGGAATCTCACCATCTACAAACCATAATATCATCAAGAGATTCAGAGAACCCAGAGAAATCGCTGCCAGTAAGGTGCAAGGCTGAAAACCAGCACTGAATGCCCGTGACCTTTGACCTTTCAGGGTGCGCTGCATTACAATCTGACACAACTGAATAAAGGATCTTACTACATGAGCTCAGGAACATTTTGGAAAACCACTGTCAGTAAACACATCGGGCTAAAGAGGGAAAGGACCCTCCGGGTTGTTACCAACTCAAAGTTCAAAGCATCAGTGATGGTATGGAGGTGTGTTAGTGCGCATGGCATCATGGGTAATTTCACATCTGTGAAGGCACCATGAATGCCGAAAGGTACATACAGGTTTTGGAGCAACATGCTGCCATCCACACGACATATTTTTCAGGGACGTCCCTGCTTATTCCAGCGAGACAATGAGACGCATTCTGCTCGTGTCCCAACAGCGTGGCTTGGCAGTAAAAGAGTGCAGGTACCAGACTGACCTGTCTGCAGTCCACACCTGACTCCCACTGAACATGTGTGGAACATTATGAAGCACAAAATATTATTATTGGGCAACTGAGGTCGTATATCAAGCAAAAATGAGGAGAAGACTTATAAAACTTCAGTTACCACATGCTTACTGAGTGTTGCTCAAAGAAAAGATGATGTCACACAGTGGTAAGCCTGATCGTCTCCCTAACTTTTCTGGAACGTGTTGCAGGCGTCAAATTCAGAATGAGTGTATATTTACAAAAAAAGAACAATGAAACTCATCAGTTTCAACATTATATATCTGGTCTTTGTACTGTACTGAGCTGAATATAGGTTGGGCAGCTGTGGCTCAGAGGTAGAGCGGGTCTTCCACTAATTGGAAGATTGCCTGTTTGATCCCCGGTTCCTTCAGGCTGCATGTAGACAAAGTATCCTTGGGCAAGATACTGAACCTCAAATTGCTCCTGAATGGGTCAATGTGACATGCGGTGTAAAAGAGCTTTGAGCAAGTGCAGTCCAAAAAGGATTTGTGAATCCCATTTACTTTAATTTTACACAGCATCCCAACTTTTTTGGAACTGGGGCTGTATTTCCAAATGGAGCGCTTCAGGTTAGGTGGGGACACTAACTAAATGGAAGTTTGATTTATTAAAGTCTTCTTCTTCTTCTTCTTCTTCTTCTGAGGTCCAAACTATTTTAAATATTAAAAAAAAATAAATTTGGTACCTGGCTCAAATTGTTTGTATCTTTGTCAAGGCAGTTCTTATTGAAAGACAGAGGTAAACCATCAACATAACATCTGATTGCATACATCAGACGGTATTGTTGCTGTCATCTTTTTACCTTTCCCCATGTTGTACAGTCACACATGGTGCCTGTGCTGCAGATCTGGGTTTCCGGGAAGGCTAACTGACGGCGGGGAGGAAAGGACTAGACAGGGGGAGGGGATGGGGGTCTGCTCTGACCTTCAAACCAAACAAACCTTGGCTTGTCAACGCCATTTATCTAGCAGCTGCTACAGATGAAATCAAGTTTTAGCTCAGTGTGTCTGTGAGGAGCTGATAGAGGCAGGGACTTTAATGTTTCAGAAGATGGCACAGGTTAAACTGATGCTATGCTAACTTAACAAACCACAGTAACACTGCACACATTATTTAATTGATCATTTTGTTGGGAAGGTACCGACTGGCCCCAAGTGATGATTGTAAAACTCATGTGTCACTGACAGGCGTGACAGAGAAACAGTGAACCTATCAGTCTCAGTAAAAACGCATGCTAACATTAGCCGGCTAACCTGTTAGCGTCCCTAATCTCAGTTTCATTCATCAGCAGACACGCAGTCTGGAGCCGAAACGTAATATATCTGACGCCGACATGTATCGTGATAAATAACACACGATAAATAACCAATACTGTCTATCACTCTCTGGTTATTCACATAAACATTTACATGTAAATTAGCTTCCAGCTTAACGTGAGGCTGGAAATGTCAGAGACGTTGCTTCGATTTGGTTTACATGGACAACTCGTGTGGGCGGGGTCTTACGGCCGGATCCACTGGCTGCAGTGTAATCGTTCTCCCCGCTAACAGTGCTGACATGTTAACCAAATCGAGCGCACATAAGCAGGCTAACCGTCCCACCTGGCTCTGCTGCTGCTGCTGGAGCCTCTCCTGGAGGATAGCCTGAGCCAGTCCGCCCGTCGCGCTGCCCGTTCCGGCCGGCGACTTGTCCGTGGAGAGTGTCCGGACGATATCCACCACAGCCGGGGAGGAGGCACCTACCGCCCCGCTCCTGAGCCTCAGCAGGGCCCGGCTCGCTCGCACACACATGGGGAACACAGGAGTCGCCGACATGTTGGATAGTAGCGCTAGCTGCCCGGCGAACGTATGTGAAAAGGACAAAAGCACCTGATTGGCTCAGGCCGGTTTGAGTGACAGGCGGAAGGAGCGCTCAGAGCAGCGATGGGCCACATGTAGCGGGAGGAGGGCGGGCGCAACAGCGTCTGGTCCAATCAGAAGCAAGAGAGAATCTGACCTTCGATTGTGACAGAAAACTGCCATGATGGTTGATGGCAAAATGCCCAAAGTATGGTCCATTACATCATTACATCACCTGTAACACAAAAACTGTCAGCTTATTGATTAACATACGGTATAAACACATATACTGTATGTTTCTATATTATATTATATTATATTATATTATATTATATTATATTATATTATATTATATATTGTGTTATATTATATTATGTTATATCATATTATGTTATGTTATATTATATTATTTTGTATTAAACTACACTTTACTATAATAAAATGGCCAAATTATGCATCACCTGTGAAAGAAAAACTGTCAACTTATGCTTTATAATATAATATCATTTACGTTTTATTTATTTAAATATATTCTATCATAACCATTCTATCATATTGGCCAATTATGTGTTCACATCCAAGGAATTTGATTGTTTTTTTTCTCTTTTTTTGCATATACTGTATGTATCTTTTTCATAATATACTACACTTTATTTAATTATACCCATGCTATCCTGTTTTTATATTTACTTTTCTATTTTACCTCATCTTACATTGCTGTATGATACTATGCATCCTTTCACCTTATGCTTTTGTAATTAACCATATTATACTATATCATGATAGTATGTTACTGATTTTTAGTATGTCCCTTGAATGGGCAGGTACATATAAATGTTTTGGAAAATTAATGAATTGCTATTTTCTAATGTACACAGGCCACAGTGAAACATATTCACAATTTTTTTTTTTTAAAAAATATGACCTTTATTTTGGGCGGCACGGTGGTGTGGTGGTTAGCACTCTCGCCTCACAGCAAGAGGGTTGCCGGTTCGATCCCGGGCGTGGGAGCCCTTCTGTGTGGAGTTTGCATGTTCTCCCTGTGTCAGTGTGGGTTTCCTCCAGGTGCTCCAGCTTCCTCCCACAGTCCAAAGACATGCAGGTTAATTGGTGACTCTAAATTGTCCGTAGGTGTGAATGTGAGTGTGAATGGTTGTCTGTTTCTATGTGTCAGCCCTGTGATAGTCTGGTGACCTGTCCAGGGTGAACTCTGCCTCTCACCCGATGTCAGCTGGGATAGGCTCCAGCCCCCCTCGCGACCCTCAAGAGGGTCAAGAGGGCGGTTAGAAAATGGATGGATGACCTTTATTTTCCAAATCTCCCGAGACCTATCAGCCATTCAGAGTAAACATTTTCCCACCTCTTTAAATACGCCATGTGCATATTTTGAAAACATATTAATTATCTACTTTCTTTCATGTTGTGTGTGTGCGAGTGAGTGATAGAGAGATAAAGAGAGATAGAAATACAAGGGTTGATCAGGTATTATTGCAGACACACACATGCAATGAAATATGTACAGTGAAACCACCACATCTTTTACAGAAACATTTTCAGTTCTTCTATCTTCCCTCATTCACTCTGCTTTGCTCTCTCCTCACAGGAGCTACCATTCATTGCAATCCTCATCTTCCTCACTAGTTCCCTCCTCTCAATCTGAACTGTCAGGGAGCAGTACAATAAGTTTCACACCTTTATATTATTGATTATCTGTAGAGAATAGGCCTTAAAACACGAGCATATCTGTGACCGGGGCAATGTATCCTCCAGTATACAGACATTCAAGGCCTGATAATCACAGTTTTAAAAATGCAATTCATTAATTTACAAACAGAACATGTTAAAATTATCCTTCAAACCAATTTTCTAAAACAAAATCCCTCCTAAAGCATAATAAACATGAAGAAACAACAACAGCATGTACATAATGGTTAATGTCTTTGACAGCATCATTCTGGATTTATACAAATGATCAGTGTATTTTTGAATGATGGCATGAAGCTCCATGAGTCGCTGACCCATCCCCATCTTCAATATTTGTCATGATATGAAGTGCACCCACTTAATGCCCCTCCCCCTACAGCCTGTCAACTGACTGTGCCACTCAGGAGCAGGGACCGTTCAAGGGATATTTATATCGCTATACTAATTCAGACATATTTGAAGCACCATTACTTTATCACATCATCAGTCTGGTGTGCACTGTGAAGTTAGACCTACTGACTGTGCTGTTATTAATCACACCACCACTGTCTCTTTATCTTACAATATTTGTTTCCATCTACTCTTTTCTAATTTCAATATATATATGAACAAACTGTACAAATATTCTTGTGTCTGCCTGTATGCTTTTTACAGCTGACTGCCATTTAAAATCATCTGTCTACACCGCCCCCAGTGGTCACAGGGTATAATCACACCCATTTCAGAAGATGTCAAAGGATGACATTACACACCTTGGCCACCAGAGAGTATTGTACACACATGGATATATACACACTAACCGCTTGGTGACCACTTCCAAAGCTGACTGGGTTAGTGCTACAGTCAGTCTCAATGAAATTTGTATTTTCTGTACAGTCAGGTAAACATTACCAGCAGCTCTTCATTTCTCACGTTGTCTCATACTCTATGACTATAATACTCTTTAATATATTTAACCCACATAATATTAGCAGTTATAATGCTCAGCTATTTGAAGAAATTAAAAGGCAAGCTGTGAATCTCACCAGCTGTTTGACTACTTGACACCTGAGGCTGCACTGCCCAGCAGACGTCATCCTAAGTTTATCATTTTCATTACAGTTGTTCCCTAAAGGTGTTCAGGCACCAACTCTAGAAGTTTTTTGTCTGTTTGTTGGTTAGTTAAATCCATAATGTGACAACAACTGTTGCCTAGAAACCTTGCAAATCATGTAAAAGACAAGAAACCCCTGTAAAAATCAGCCAGGTCTGCAAAAGAAAATGTTGACATTGTACATTTCTGCAAACCATAGAAATGTTAGATTTGTATGTTTTACATGTAGGCTATCATATCAACATCTCTAAAGTGACGTAGTACATGAGCTGACTGTCATCAGGAGATCAGGAGGTGGAGATAGTGGATTGTGTGACACTTAGGCGAGATGCCTGTCGAGCTGTAGACCACCGTTCAAGACATGTTTTTGTTTGTTTGTTTTTTTGTGATTTGTCGTTGTTTTGCCAGTGGCCTTTTAGTCACAAAACTTTTGTTGTTGTTTTCGTAGCAACTTGTCACTGTCTATCCAGCATCTTTTTAGCCCAGCAAACATGTTTTTGTTTATTTGTTTTTTTGTGATTTGTAGTTGTTTTGCCAGTGGCCTTTTAGTCGCAAAACTTTTGTTGTTGTTGTTGCTGTTTTTGTAGCAACTCATCACTGTTTTTCCAGCATCTTTTTAGCCCAGCAAACATGTTTTTGTTTGTTTGTTTGTTTGTTTTTTTTGCAATTTCTCGTTGTTTTGCCAGTGGTCTTTTAGTCGCAAAATTGTTGTTGTTGTTGTTGTTGTTGTTGTTGTTGTTGTTTTTGTAGCAACTCGTCACTGTTTTTCCAGGATCTTTTCAGCCACCAAACTTTTTTTTTTTTGGTAGTGACCCATTGCTGTTTTTTCAGCATTTTTTGGCCACTTAACATGTTTTCTTGTTATTGTTGCTGTTTTTTTGCGACCTGTTGCTAGTTTTCCAGCAGCTTTTTAGTCACAAAATATGAGTGGTTTTAGGCAACTCGTCACTGTTTTTTCACTGGGGAAAGTGCCACGGAAAAGTCTTTGTTGTTGTTTTATTAAGACATCACTGTGTTTCCTGCTGGGATAGTGCTATGAAAAGTGGTTGTTTTTAACTGAGACATCACTGCTTTTCCAGCAGACTTGTACCCCTTAATTGGGTATTTTAAGCCAAAGGATGATATTTTCCTAACCCCAAGTGGTTTTTGTGCCTAAACCTATTTAACACAGCGATATCATATCTGCTACATAATAACACACAAATGTAACATATCTGAGGTTTACAGAAATGTACAATACTAACAGGGCATTGTATGGCATTGTAATGCCACCATGGTGTTGTACCAACCAAATCCGGCGATTTGGTCGGCAAAAATATGCCCCAGCTTACTGAGGAGCTGATATACACTGTTGTAATGATGACATATTCTGGACACACATTCACCAACAACCTCTGCCATTATTAGTCAAGCAGGGTTTTAATTTTACAAACTGAACTGATCACTACTTTCCTTTTGTGCATCTGACAGGAGTGATCTGTAGAGGAGCAGAGTCACTCCACTCAGCACCGGGTCGGAATAACGGGTAGATCCTGGTCTTTCCTGAGTTGTAAACCCTGAATGCTAATAAATTACCCAGAAATGTCCCACTTGCTGTAAAGGCACATTCTGTAAAGGAGTAGATCACAGCCCTTGTATCCACGTCGTAGAAAGAAACCAACCCTCCTTCATAATCCACAAACACCCCAAGGTTCTGGGGCTGTTGAGACAAGGAAAGCTTGACGGGAGGATTTGCATTAGCCTGGCAGTTTCCCCAATAGGACCCCAGTGTCCAGCATCCTTTTTCAGGGCTGAGGGACAAACCAGCACCCTTCCTGTTGACTGACTCTCTTGCCACTCCGACTTCCCATCCTGTTTGCCCTGTGAGCATTACTTCATAGTAAAACTTGCCGGAGGAAAACCCCTCATTTCCAAGGACAAAATGGAACGAGTCAAACCTTGTGGGATTGTCAGGGACTCTCCTCTTGGTGCCTCCATCTCTCACTTGTTTCCTGTCCCCAGAGACAATTAGGGAGGGGTGTGCTGTGTCGGGGTCTAGAGTCACTTCTATTGCGTATTGCTCCTGGATTTTCCCAAGCTCATCGTCAGATGCATTCACTGTTTGGGTTTTCATCGATCCCTCAACTGTCTCGTCTTTATCCACCACATTGACTTCCTGGATAACGTTCTCCATCTGTTCATTCAGCATGTCCTCCATCTTGGCTATCACACTCCACAATGTCTCTGCCTGCAGGAAGCGTTGGACTCTTTCTGTAATGCGGTGTGTTGTGTTTGAAGGTGGGGAGAAAGATGGGAGGTCCTGGAGGAGTCTAAAGTTGTCCTCGCTTGATGAAAGCTCCTCCAGCTTGGTACTCATCTGATGGTTCTCTGCAATCTCCAGCTGTAGTTGTCTGATGAGTGCTTCGGCATGCTGCTCTGCTGCTTTCTGCTTCTCCTCCAACAGCTCAATCAGCTTCACCTTTTTGGTTTCAATCGAGGCTGCCAGAACAGCAAAGGCTTTGACAATTTCCACCTTCACATTCTCCACTTCCTGCCGACCTTGCATCATTGAGTTTTGAATCCTCTTGGTCGTGTTGCATTTCTCGCTCAGAGTGTGCTTGACTTGCCTTTTCACAAACTTCAGCATAGTTTTCCTCTCCTTAAACTCCTCCTCTAAAGAGATGGCGCTATGCATCACATGGTCGTCCCTCAAGCATACGAGGCAAACACAGCTCTGGTCTTTCTTGCAGTAAAACTCCATCACCTTGTTGTGTTTCTTGCACATTCTGTCCTCGAGGGTCTTCACAGGGTTGATCAGCTCGTGCCACTTTAAGGCCTGAGTGTGATGTGGCTTCAGGTGAGCACTGCAGTAAGACACCAAACAGACCAGGCAGGATTTCACAGCCTTACGCTTTATCCCATGGCAGACATCACAGGGCACATCCCCGGGCCCGGCAGTGGAACTACTGTCATCACCTGCAACTTTCTTCATTCTGAAAAGCTCCACCATGTCTTTGAGCTCTGTGTTGACTTGCAGCTCAGGGACATTGTGGAAATTCTCCTTGCACAGTGGACACTCACTGCAGTTTCTGGAAGCCCAGTAGCTTGTGATGCAGCCCTTGCAGTAGTTGTGTCCGCAGGGAGTGGAGACGGGCTCATTGAAAACATCCAGACAGATTGAGCACAAAAATTGCTCTTCGGATGGGGAAATGTTGGCTGAAGCCATTTTATCTGGAGGAGAGAAGAAAGAGAAAAGGAGAAGGGTAGAAGGATAAAATGATAAAACAAACTGAAGTTAACAGGTAGACTAAACAGGTGCTTCTTAATGCTGCAATCACTACGAGGATTCTTCCGAACCCACCGGCTCTGCAGCAAGTTGAGCTATCCACCATGAATTTCCTGGAAATGTTTTCATACTCAGACATACTGATCTACCCACCTGGTATTTTACACTGAGGAAAGTAAACAAAGAGCTAAAGTCCAGAGGGAGTGAGACCAAAACAAACTTGTTCCATAAGGTCAGATTATTTTTCTCTTTAGCAGAAATGTTTCCTGATGATTTTTGTCATTGGTCATTGCCACACGGTAAGTATGCTCTTTTCTTCCAGCATTGGATTGTGTTGTTAATGTGCTAACTGGCTAACTAGCATCATGATGGTCTCCCAGCCTCTCACGCAGGTGCAGAACGTACGTGCTGTTGGCCTGGTTGGTTTTTGCCGTCAGTGTCTGAAACTGAAATCACTGACAAAATGGTGGGATTTGACAACTTCAGAATGAGAACGGGCTATCTTAAACATGTATAGGGTGACCATATTTTGATTTCCAAAAAAGAGGACACTCGGCCGGCTACGAGATAGCCTACTTAGATGATACTCGCAGTTTACTCAAAGATGCCTTATAATTTTAATATATTTAAAGTTTATATGTATGGATAGAAAATTCAGTGATATTACAAAATAATATCTCTCAAAGACAGAAATTCAGATAGGCCCCTATAGATAGGGGACACACACACACACTAGAGTGTGGCTACCCGATCTGAGCCCGACGGGTCCCGACGGTAGACCTACCCAACGGGTCGGGCCGGGTTTGGTCAAAAATGTATAAACTGTATTCGGGCTTGGGTCGGATTCGGTCAGCTTTCAGTGAAAATGTAGTGTAAAAATAAATAAAATCCTATTGTCTGTCCTGTTTATTGCTTGGACACTGTTATTTACGTGACAACACCTGAACACAACACACACACACTGGCTGTTTGTTTCTACCTCTCCCCTCGCTGGAAGTCTCGGACCTACCACCGCCCGCTCCCGTCTCAAACACGGCGGTGTCCCTCTCTGCGGAGCACCCACGGTGCACACCCGGCCTGTTAAATAGCCTGTAACCATAACAACTGTGTGACACAAACTCAATGCTTTAGTCATTAAATAATGTCGGGCTCGGTTCGGGTTTGGACATGACAAAACAGAATGACTGTCAGGTTCGGACAGAAATATCATGTGCCGCACTCTAACACACACACACACACACACACACACACACACACACACACACACAAGGAAAACCGGACATTATCATCAATTTATAAACACCCCCTGGACGCCCCGGACAGGACGTGAAAAGTGGACATGTCCGGGCAAAAGAGGACATTTGGTCAGCCTAAGCATATAGCTCTGAATCCCAGTTGCTGGAAAATTTGTTTGTGCCACTGTAGGTCTCTGTAAACCACAAATACATTAAATTTGTTCCCTTCATACGTATCATATCAGTCTTTCTGAAGTTTATGAGCTGACTTTTCCTGCGGCTTTACAAGCAACAGACATGGGTGTTTTGTTGCGATCCATCACAGTTTTTCCAGTTTTTCCTCCGGAACAGCAGTGGAGCCGATACGTTTCAATTCTAGTCAATGTGTGTGCTTCCACCGGCTGCGTCTCCGTTACAGCTGCGGCGCTCCGGAGCCCTCTGCAACAGATACGCAGGACTTCTATTTTTGCTGGACGCTGGAGCACAACGCAGCAATTCAGCACGGAGCAGATCGTGCGGGGCAGGAAGTCGTGCACAGAAACAAAATAAAACATCTGGTTAATTTTCAAAATAAAATACACAGTCTTCACGGCGGATCATATTTCCCTGCACTACACCTTGAAAGTGTCATAATGGGCGGAGGCAGGCCTGAAGTCAACAGGTCAGAGGTTTTCAGACGTCATTTCACCCCGTTGACACCATGGACGAGGAGATGTTAATCATGGAGGTGCATTGAGATGTCTTCCTGCTACTCCTCTGGTTTTGTGGTTCTGTTCATAGAAACTACATCTTATTATATCGCGCGATTATGCATGAATACGCGAGATCTCGTGGGTCCCTGTGACTCCTGCTGTCAGGCGGAGCTGCACCGCTCCGCACAGCAAATGCAGCCGGTGGGTGTTGACGGATGGCGGAGCACGCAGTGGATAACCAGCGCAGCCGCTCTGCAACGGACACGCATCCAGTGGAATTCCGGCGTAAGACATCGCTGCATTTCCAGCAGGGATTGTGCCCCCAAACTGGGTATTTTAAGCCAAAAGCCTAACCCTAACCCCATGACCTTTTACTCACCATAACCAAGAGGTTTAATTTCACTCAAAACCACAAATGTCAGCTCCTTCATGGTGCTAGAGGAAAAGTCGGGGTGGGGGGTCACCAAGGACCATGCCTCCAGTATATGCTGTTTTGGAAATGAAGCTCTAGCTAAAGTTCAGTCAGGAAGGCTGTACTTTTGCCAACCTGGTCGCACTCCGAAGTCATAACAGTCCGGCACTTGGTCAGTGACGACATTATTATTTGACATATCGCAATATCTTAATTTGGCACAGATGTCCACGTTGAGTCAACAATGAACTAAATAGATTTTTGTGGTCAAAGGTCACTGTGACGTTGCATCTGTCTCATTCTTGTGAACACGATATCTCAAGAATACCTTGAGAGAGTTTCTTCAATATTGGCACAAACGTCCAATCTGAGTCAAGGATGAACTGATTAGCCTTTGGTGGTCAAAAGTTAGGGTCAACACCGTCCATTGCATTCTGGTGAACTGGACATCTCAGAGACCAAAAGGGTCTTACTGCAAAGTCACTGAAATCTGGCGCTTGGTCGGTAACTTTCGGCGTTAAACACTGACGAAGAAAGCCGTCCTTTCCAACGGCGTGATACGCAGCCAGTTGCTGTTATTGTTTAATGGTGCCTGGCGTCAAGAGGAAACACAGTGGACAACAACGAAAGTTAAGTGGGCAAAAGTCCGAGTAGGGTGGGTGGGACGGGTAGAGGATGGGTCCCACAACCACCGACTTTCCCCCCGGGACGCTGGTGTTTACTTCCTGTAAGACTGTAAAGCCAAACCCTGTTCTTTTTTTCTGAACCCCACCCACGTGCAAGTGTTGGCAAAGCAGAACCATGTGCGTTTGCTGTTGAAGGAAAGAAAAAGTCAGTCTGTGGTGTTGTGCCTTACATGCACTAATGTATGCAAACTACATTTCCTGTGAAAAAAGACAATGCATGTAACAGGCTGAAGCTGACACGGCATCCCAGTCCGAGTCCAAGTCTGAGTAGGCTTTATTTCAAATTGTATTAATCTATTACTCTGTAGGCTACATCTGTAATTTGTACTTGTATCATCCTGGTCTCTCCTGATTAAAATGCTGAAAGTCTAACACATAGAACAGCCCAGGACTCTCATCAGTCCAACATCTGACACTGACACACACACACACACACACACACACACACACACACACACACTGGCAGTTAGAAATCCCTAGTTATATCTTTGTCTCTCATTAATGTCAGTTCAGTGCAGATAACTGACTGAAACTGCAGAGTCATACTTGAGAAGGCAGAGCAGAAAACATGGACTGGATTGTTTCGTGCTGAACAATGTGAAGTCACATTTATTCACCACAGTTTGTCTCACAGTGTACACTGATCCATGTGCCTCTCTGCCTGTCACATTCATCGTGAATTTGTCAAAAATAACAAATTACTTAAAAATAAAAATGCACATGAGGAATAATAAGAGCATTTTCATATTGTTAATAGGTAATACATATACTGCCCGTGTCACCGGGACACAGGGAGAATCTTTACATTCTCACAGTGCGTATTTTTACTTTACTTTTGTGCTCTTACAGTGACCAAGCATCCACTTTATATTCCTGGCTACATACCAGAGCTGATGCTGATGAAAGTGAAACTGGTACGTCACAGTGAAAATGAAATCAAATGAATTTGAATATAAAATCAGATAAGGCAACAAAATCAAAGCTCACCTGTTCAGAAGCCACGGCTGTTTTCACTCAGTGGAAGAACAGGAAAATCAGCTGCAGACAAATCATCTGTTTCACTTTCATTTCCTGAGAACAGAAACACACGCCTCTGTGTGTGTGTGTGTGTGGGTGGGTGTGTGTTTGTATGTGTTTATGCCTCCACTCCTACTTTAATGAGGACCCACTTGACCTTTAGACCCTGAGAGTGAGGACATTTTTGAAAAGTGAGTTGACATTTAGACAGAGAGGATATGTTTGGAAAGTTATTATTATTATTTTTTATTTAGCTTTACAAAAATTAAGAAAAAATGTTGAAACATGAAGACAAATTAGAAATATTTGGAAACTGGGGTCATTTCAAGAAAGCTGAGTACATTTTGGAAAGCCACGACATTCTTGAAAAATGTGTTTTGGGAAAGTGGGAGAAAAAGTCAAGACACTTTTTTGGAAATTACGGACTTCTGAAGAGAGTCAACATTTTTGGAAAGCAATGTTCTTCTAAGACGGTGAATGTTAAGATAGGAAAAAAATATATAATTTTTGATTCATAACTATTTTTTAAACATTCTGAAAATTCAAAACATTTTGGAAAGTGTTGTGGTTTTGGTAAAGTTAACTTTAATTAAAAACTAAATGTTTCTTACCTTTCAAAAAATGTTTTCACTTGCTAAAAAAAAACCCTGCTTCCCCAAAATGTCCCTGATTTTTGAAAACTTATTCACTTTAAAAAATTGTTCTGAATTTCCATTTTTTAAATCATTATTTTTATTTTATTTTTTCTTTGAACCTCACATTTTTGGAAGCTGGGAACATTTTGGGTAGTAAGGACATTTTTCATTTTTATGTTAAGGGGAGGGGAAATCTTTAAGAGTGAGGAAATTTTGAAAAGTGAGGACATTTTTGGGAAGTGGAGACTTTTTGACATGAGAACGTTTGGAACGGTAGGAAATGTTTTTAAAATGTAACTTTTTAAAAACAAAGTAGGAAAATGAATTTAAGTTACACTGTTATTTTTATTTTAACTTTATTTTTTGAAAGTTTTTTTTTTTTTAAATTACATGCTTATTTACTCATTTATTTATTTGGGAAATTCAGAACTATTTCCAAAAGTGAAGGCATTTTGAAAACTGAGGATATTTTGGAATGTGGGTTTGAGAAAGTTGGGAAATCTTTTGAAAGAGAAACTTAAAAAATAAAAAAAATAAAAAATCTGGGGACTTTTTAGACCATGGGGACATTTTGAAAATTTTCAAATAAAAAAATGTAAATTCAGAACCATTTTTAAAAGTAAATAACTTTTTAAAATGACAACATTTCTGGAAAGAGGGGACCTTTTTTTCATAATGAGAATTTTTGGAAAGGTAGTGATTGTTTTTAAAATGCTATTTTTTTTTTTAAATCTAGCTCTTTTTTATTTTAACTTTAATTTAAATGTTATTAATTTATTTGTTTATTCGTGTATTTATCTATTTTGTAAATTTAGAACTATTTCTAAAAGTGAAGGCATTTTGGAAAGTGTTGTGATTTTAGGGACGTGGGGACATTTTTGAAAAGTTAAAATAAAATAAAAAATCAATTCAACTGTATTTCAAAACCAATCCTGAAAGTGAGTGCATTTTGAAACTTGACGATATTTTGAAAAGTGTTAGGAACGTTTTGGAAAATGGGTAGGCCTACTTTTTAGACAGTGAGGACATTTTTGAAAACTTAAAATTAAAACATTTAAATTCTAAACAATTTTTAAAGGTGAATTCATTTTTCAAGTGAGAACATTTTTGGGGAAAGGGGACTTTTTTGGATAGCGAGAGTTTATGGAGAGGCAGGAAACCTTTTATGAATGTAACCTTTAAAAAAATCAGTTCAATTCAAATTAAAATTATTTTGAAAGTTCATCACATTGTGGGAAAGTCGGGACATATTTGCAGTGTAGGAGAATAAAATGTCTCCAATTGTTTCAGTCCCCATAGCTATGAGGTTTATCATGACTTTTTTTTAATGCAGGCATTATTTGTGTTGTCGGTCCGTTTAAGCTCCTCTGTATTCGTTGAATCGATGCGTGACGTGAAGCCTGAGCATCATGACTTTAATGAAAGCAGGGAGGAGGGAGGAGGGAGGGAGGGGGTGTTGGAGCCAGCAGAGACCGAGCAGAGCATCAGTGTTGTTCCTGCCGTGGACCAGAGAGGAGAGAGACCCATCACAGAACAACCAGCGGCTTGTTTTCAGGTAAAAACACCTTCAGCTGCAGCTTTTAACGACACGTGTCTGTTCTTCATGATGATCGTTATCAGTGTGTTTGTGTGTGGTGGTGATGATGATGATGATGCTGAGGCAGAGGCAGAGATGGAGGGGGAGAGGGGCGCTGTTCAAAACAACACCTCCGAAATAAACCTGCGTTTCATCTCCCACACTCACGCTGACGGGTCAGACTCTGAAGAAACGAGCATGCTGTGTGTTTAATATCTAGATGAAATTAAGATTCACAGCTTCGTGTGTTTTTATGCGTGTGCGTGTTTTCATTGTCTGTCATCGGGGCGTTTTTTTCCCATCCTGCCCTTCACTACGCACATTGGCACAAAGCACAACCCGGAGCTGTAGCTGCAGTTTGTATCTGCTGTGTCTGGGTTTGATCGCATCATAAACATCAGCTGGTGTGTATGAAGCTGTGCAGAACAAACTGTCTGCTGCCTCTGATCGGGTTTTTATAATATTTGGTGTCTCCGCTTTGGTTTGTTGTAAAATGGAGGCTGCATGGATGGAGGAGGAGGAGGAGGAGGAGGAGGAGGAGGAGGATGCTGCCATGGCCTCCCTCCGCCTCACTCCCACAACCTGCTGGTGTACACATCACATGGTATTCCTACACCCTTCAAATCATCCGAAATAGAGCCATTAAGCGGTGGTATTGTGTAAGTGTGTAACAGTAGGGGTGTGTGTCAGGCTCAGAGCTTAATGCTGGTTATTACGATGGTTTCCATCTTGGCCAGTATTCCCACTGGGACTCATGTATGAGACATGTGATCCAGTCTCTATAAGCACAGGACTGATTCAGTACAATCCATGTACTATCCATGCTGAGTCCACAGAGCTGCCAATAACATCATTTACAGATGATCATAATGTCAATCATTCACATATTTCATACTTGGCAGTATCCTTTCATATCATATTCCTCAACTGATGCAACAAACAAACATTTATTTGGAGACAACAATGGTAGCCTGTGTAGAAATGTCATCAAACTGTTGTACTGGTTTAATCAAAATGCAGTAATTATTATATTATGATTATTGAAAGCAAAAACACTGGCAGCACGGTGGTGCAGTGGTTAGCATTGTCGCCTCACAGCAAGAGGGTTCCCAGTACAGACCCCAGGGTTTCTCCACACAGAGGGGGTGGGGGAACCCCTTTGTGTGGAGTTTACATGTTCTCCCAACTCATCCTCACTGTGACCTCGTCACATGTCCACGTTTGGTCATGGACTTTCCACGTCCACATATGGCGTCCAAGGTACCCTGGGTGTGTTGGTTGTTGACGTTCTGGGACGCCGTGTCAATTTCAGCCTGTTACATGCATTGTCTGTTTTCAAAATACACTTCTGTTTTCACAGGAAATGTACAGTTTGCATACAGTCTCTTTCAAAATAAAAGCACTACGTCGTTACAACACTGCAAATTATTTTTTTCCTTCAACAACAAATGCACATGATTGAGTTTAGGTAAAAAGAACAGGGTTTGGCTTTACAGTCTTACAGGAAGCAAACACCGGACCTTTTTAAACAGGAGTTGTGCAAATTTGCAGGAAAGCCCAATCAGTCTTTTTTCAGCATTGGCAGTATAAAAACAAAATCGGGGAGTGCAGCAAAATGCCGGATAAAAATATAAATGTGATAAAATATCACACACACACACACTGCGCATCTTTTTCATTTGTTTTATTCTGAAAAATTAAAAAAAATATTTTTGTTCCTACCCGCTGCCGACCCGCGTGTATTTCATTTTGCATGTTATTCTATAGAAAATACGTTAAAACTTTAGGTTTCATCAACGCAGTGGCAAACGTGGTTAGGTTTAGGCACAAAAAAGACTTGTTTATGGTTAGGAAAAGAAAACAGGTTGCTAAAAACACCAACGTTTGGTGGCTCAAAGCTGCAGGAAACACAACGACAACTCACTAAAAATAACAAGTTTTGTTTGTTGGTCTTGAACAGTGTCTGCAGCTTGGCAGGCGTCTCCACCAGCTGTCACTCCATCCACCATCCCCTCCTCCTGATGACAGTCAGCTCATGTACTACGTCACTTTAGAAACTTTGATATGATTCGTATGAAACAAATGTAACGTGTTTGTGGATGGCAGAAATGTACAATGCAAACATTTGTCGTCTGGCGACTGAGCTGCCACCACGGCTCTGTCACTGTTTTTTTGGTGGTCTAAAAATGGGGAAAATGCACCTGTCAGTATGTCAGAAAACAAAAGAAGAGGTGGAGTCAGAGTGATGTAACAGCAGCAAGAAAAAAACACAATTTCTTACGCGTCAATTAAAGCCCAACTCACAGTATATATTGTCTGATCAGCTGAAAACAGACAAGGAACTGAAGAACAGAAATGCCAAAGATTTGTTTTGAAATGTTTTTATTTTGTCACAACTGTAAAATGTCCTGCAAAGTATATTTCTCAGTTGCAAATATATATATATACAATATCTAAAAAACAACAAGCAAAAACCACATCAACAATGTGTATAAATGTTCTGCAAAGTAAATATGTTATCATCAGATTTAAATAGTCAAATATTAGTTTTGGTATCAGCCTCAGAAACAATGCATCATTCAGACTTTACTCTTTAATTTTCTAACATGAATTGTTGTGCTCATTCTGCAGCCCTGGTGTCTGTGTGCATGCTGTCATGTGTGAGTCCGTGCTGACTCACACGGCCGTGTTGCGTAACCTTTGTCGTGGCCTCGGCTGAGTCCTGTTTCAGATGGTAACCACCGCTCGGTTGTGTTCAGGCAGGACTCAACCAGCTGAGGCTGCAGCCGGCGTTACATAAACCTCATCACAGACACACAGACAGAATTCAACATTCAGCGTCACGACAGGAAGTTTTCATCAGAGCGTTCATGCTGGACAGGAAGCTGAGGAGCACACGTGTTGTCGTCACGTGATCACCACATTGTTACTCTGTCTTGAGGAGCTGCAGTGGTTTTTATTCTCAGACAAACTGAAACCAACACTGAACATTTGCTGCTTGACAACTTGACTGCTGATTTCTTCTCTGCTCCGATCGCCTCTCATGACACAAGTTGTCATTCCCAACTCAGTCGGATGTTTTTCTCTGAGACACAATGAATTTTTTGACCGTCATTTCATCAGCTAGGTGACTAAGCCTGCCTGTCTTTGTCTGACTGGCCAGAGATGGTACTTATCAGACAAAGTAGCACCTGCGAACAATCTCTTCTCATTCTGAAGTCGTCAAATAACGCTGTTTGATTAGTGATTTCCACGTCA